TTTGTCTTTGAATCCACCCCAGTGCAGCTAGCCGTACACAGCACCTGCCGAGAATCGCGGCTATGAGCATGACTGTGGTGGCCTGAAGGTGATTTCCCTTCCCGTGATGCATCACTTCAAGCCTATGCGCGTTTCATATGCAGCGATATTGCTCCTAGAGCGGCGCGATATTGCCGCCGCCGCGGCGCTTTTTCCAACCGCAGCGGCTTAGCGGCGCCGCGGTTCCAAAAGATTGGAAATTCTTCGCCGCGGCAGAGCGGCATGGCATCCGCGCTGACCAGTCACAGCGCAGCAGAGAATCACGTGACAGGGGGGAAGCTTGGAGGGAAAGCTTGCGCATATGATAGCGTTTTCATGTTTTTCAAGCAGACGAACATCCAGAAAAAAGCTCCAGGTACATCTAAGCACTTCTTATGAGTTATGAATGCGAATGCATGCACGTCATTCTTCCTCTCCCTTATTTTTTTCGTCTGCAGCGAACTTGCGTGTACGGTCAAGCGCGTGCGCTATAGTCAGATACAGCATAAGAAAGACAGGGTGAGGGGGATAAGGACGCGTACGTAGGTCGAGAGTCGAGAGAAGCGACCTCCTTTCCAAAACGACTTTTCTCTTTTTTATAGCTTTCCTCGGCTCGCTGACATTGGGCGTGGAGCGGTGAAGCCACTGCCTCGCGGACACGCAGCGCCTTGGGGTGGCGGTCGTTGAAACTGACGCGCAGCGGCCAATGGGAGCCTCGTCGACGCGTGCCAGCCCATGGGACCGAAGCCGAAATCCATCAGTTTTACTCCGCTCCTTTGCGATCGGGGAAACTAGGTGCCATTTGGCTAGGCTTTTCGCGTGGTTTCATAGCTAGGAGCTGGCTTCACTTGGAGAAAGGATTTAAGGTGCCGTTTGGCGCGGCTTCAAAGCTGATGACGTCGGCTCGCTCCATAGGACAGTTAATGCTTTCGCATTAAAAGTACGCCAGTGACTGGTTTGCGGTTTCCTTTTTTCATTTTCATTGGTGGGTTCACCTTTTTCATTTTTCCCTCAGTGGTCGCGTCGGAACGGTCTGGGAAATTATAGTGGGGATTGTTCTTTCGTTCCTCTAATGTTTTGCGAGGAATGTCCGAAATGTCCGGGCATATGCTAGTTTGGGGCCGATTGCCCCCCCCCCCCCCCTGCCCCCCCCCCCCCCTTTTTCCCTTTGTGTCAGAATCTCTCGATTTTGGCATTCTTGAGAATTTCGTGTTTAGTGCTTGGGAGTTTCTTGTGTTGTCGTGTTTAGTTGTCACCGTGTTTCGCCTACCCGTGAACACATATCTCCATGCACATCTCCATTTCGGAGGTGGCCATATTTGTTGCAGTCTTGCCAACCGAGGTTTCACCTTCCGAGATAAGGAACTTTCAAAAGTGTTTGAAAGAATGAAACCGAATTCTTTTTTCGCGTTTTAAATAATTATTTTGTTTTAATAAAGTAAAAAAAAAAAAAAAAGGAGACTGAAATTTAAGGCATTCGATTGTTCTTGGAGACCGCTAAAATTAAATGTGGCCGTTCGCTTGCTGCAAGCAACGTGGAGCATCGCAGTTATTCGAGGCCAGAAGTATTGAGGACTAGGACATATAGGAAAAAGGTATGAGGAAATGGATAAGCGGTGTGCCGTATGGCAAGTGGAAGACGAGACAATACAGAAGATCTGGTGTTAAAATGCACCAGGCTTGCACCCCCCCCCCCCCCCGAACCCCGCCCAAATCTTTCCCCCTCCCCCACCTCCTCCCGGGGGGGGGGGGGGGGGGGGCAGATTTGGCCGGAGCGCCGGGGTTCGCAGACAAGAATGGAAGAATGAATAAGTGCATTTTAATAACAAAGAGGAAATCAAGCCTTGCGATTAGTGCCGCGGCGCCGTTAGCAGCAGCAATTTTGGTCGCAAAAAAACGCGCAATGAGTCAATGAACGGATTGCAAAAAAACACTTTTCACAAAGATGTCTCTAAGTTGTATATTGATCATACTGATATTTCGGAAATGTAAATTAAAAAAAAGGTATTTTTTATGCAATGGCAGAGAAAGGAAACAAATCGTCTAATTGACGCTGCTATCCACAGACGCTCGAATCTGCTGTATCTGCCTACGATGTTAATCTCTAAAAAGCTTTTATGTTTTTTTTTTTGCATCGCGCGGTGCGTGCTACATTCAAAATGCAGCACCAACCTGACGGTTTGCTTTAATTTACCTCCTGCGCATTAAAAGAACATTAACAAAAAAAAAAACAACAAAAAAACAAGGTTTTATTTTATTGCATTTTGTTAGAGAAATTTACACTCACGAAAGTTGAGTATGACAAATGCATCACTTTAGGACGCATTTGTAAAAAGTTTAATTGCACTCAGTTTATTGGCGTATTCATACGATTTGTTTTTACGTCGGAGCAGCGCTCAGAAACACCTTGTTTAGAAAATGATATGACCTGTTTCCACATGACGCCAATCCGACATCTTGCTGTTAAATAAGCTTTTGTATACTACGTATTTAGGATGTCGTGAAGAATGTTTTGAACGCTCGCATTCCACTCGCGCCAGATAGATTATAACAAAATGGTGGACGAAATTACGTCAGTGAAAACACTTTGTTCCAGCATGGACGTTTGCGCGGCGTCAGATATTTCGCAAAAGAGAGATACTGTGCATGCTTTGAGCGCGTCCCACAGTCCGGAAGCCGGATTCTCAAAGCGAACTTACGACGAAAAAGTGCGTACGACAAATTTGAGAGAAAATCCGTGTTCTCGAAATGAAATTGTCGTAACTTTTGCTCAAGTTACGACAAAATCCTACGACAGCTCCGAAGCTGTCTTACGCACTTTTTTTACGATTATATCAACATGGCGTACAGCCTCGCTCAGTTACTTGGTCACGACGATCAACGGACATTTGGTTTCCTACGTGCTCTTCTCGCTCTTCCCGACTTCAAGCAGCAAGAAAGAAGAAAAATGTACTTGAAATCGACCAGGACGAACATGAGCGCTGGATCCACAAACACCCGGGAAAAGCAACAAAGGCAACGATCCCACCGACCAAGCGAGTTCGGCAAAATATAAGCCTACAGGCACTCCGATTGTTCCGGCGCAGCATTGCTCCGACGGTCCTTGGCCAAGACCGTCTGCCCACGACCGGCTGGCTTGCTGAATATAATATGCCCGCGCGACCCTTGTGAACCCTTCCCGTATGAATAGTTTGATCACTGAACTTAATTTCAGAGGTCAATCTCTTCCCCTTGTCATCTCGATCTCCTTGTTTTCCGAGGCAGCGGTGACGAACGCTGTCGTCGAAAAGGACTCTCATTGATTCTATCGCCTCGTTTTGTGTGATATAGAGCTCAAATAAACGCAGTGTGGATTACCTTCGCAACACGGTATGTACACTTTGTTATTAGTATGTCATTTCTATTCTGAAACGACGCTACGTCACTGTCGAGCTACGCGATGCCGGTCCAACCTTTCTTTGCCGAGTGTCACATCAGTTTCGAGTTGGAATCGTAAAATATCGGTCCCGAAGCGCTTACCAAGACGTGGTCTAACAGGGGCGAATCCAGCACTTCGATCAAACGCGTGCGTCCGCTCCGAGTGTAAACAGGTATTTGCGTGGCTCTTGCTGACACTCCGGTAGTTCAAACGTATCTTTTTTCAACGGCTCCTGCATTTCCGAGGTCCCGGAAAACGCCGCGGCGGTTAGTTTCTATCTACGTCGCTTTGCAAATGTCTAGCACGGAGCTTTTACCAACAATGACAGTTGTGTTGACTTCGTAGCGATCGAGTTCGTAGCAGTCAACGAAGCGTTTAAACCGTGTTAGCGTTGATATATCACTGCACGGATACGAACCCCAGACAAGTGGTGGTGAAAAGGCCTCCTGTGTTAATGAGAAACAGCTTGAACACTAAATATTTACACATATACAGGACAGAACATATGCAGAGCTGACTATCAACGAGTGGTTAGCCTGTGTTTGTTATTAAAAATCCACGTGCTCCGAACTATGCGGAGCTCCCCGATTGGTTGTTCGCTTGTTCGTGTTGCCGAAGACGCCGTCGACATAGCAACAGCACCGGAAGTCGTCGTTTCTCTGTAGAAGGTCGTAACTTTCCTCCTCTCACTTAAGAACGCGTTTGTGAATACCGTTTTCACCTCATCTTACGATGATCGTTAGTTTACGAACTTCGTAGCTAAGTCGTCGTAGGTAAGAGTTTTTTTTTTTTTTTTTTTTTTTTTTTTTATAAATCTGGCTGCAGTAAATCAAGCTGGCAGATAACAGGAGGCGATTGCTATAAAACCCGTTTTTTATATTCGGGACCTGAATTTTTTTTTTGGCAAATTGTGCAGAGAGTTAATATATTCGCGGCCATAAACTTTTATGAATTTTAATTTTTGAAATTTTTGTCCTTAGGTAGTAATAAAAAAAATATTATGTCGCTCATAAAGCTAAACTTTCCAATTCACGAAACTTGTGAAAATTAGCTGCTCGCGAGAATGAGCAGTTTTGCAGTATAGGTTGGCGGCGTTTGGGTACTTTCGGTTCTTAAGGATATTTTGTTTCAGATTTGACAAACGACGACAATGAGCTGCCAGCCTGTGCAAGCGTGGTTCTGAAACCTCCGGATTGCAGTTTTCAGAATCATGCTTAGACATGCTTGCAGATCACCGTCGTTGTCTGTCAAACGTTAAACAAAATTTCCTAAGGAATTTGAAGTTGCCAGCTCACCTGTTAAGACAAGGGGAGAATTCACTCACGTTCACCGTACTGACGCGATTTCGTCCACCATTTGTTGTTACAAACTCTCTGGCGCGTGCTGAATGTGAGCATACCAATGATTCACATGACACCCTCAAATGCGCAATGCATACAAGCTTATTATTCGCTTTTCGCTGACATAGAACGACCAAATGGCGGATTAACGTCGTGCAAATACCCCCTATACCTGTAAGAAAATTGAGTGGACATGAGGGAACGCAATTGAAGATAAAACTTACCCATTTCCGAGACACTAGAGTACACTGCAGGTTGTTATTTGATAGCGCCCACACGATGTTCCTGCGGAAGAATAATTGATTGACGAGGAGCTTACTGATTGGAAATTCACTAAAGGAATTTTAGATTTAAAATGAAAGCGTCGTGCCAGCTTTCACTGATACGAAGTGCAATCTAAACCTGAACCTGGCAGTTGTATCGCGAGCAATAGACCGATCTCGCCGCGCGAGCATTCGTGCAGCCGCCGCGTCTTCATCCAAAGCAACTAGCTCGCGCTTTTAGCATGCGCGGTTAACAATAGTCCATGCTAGGGTGACACAAAGTAATACCCAAATCACACGGCAGCGTAAAGGTACCTTTAACACATGTACCTGTAGTCAAGGGAGCTGAAGATCGTAATCACACGGCGCATAAAGGTCCCTTTCGCTAAGGGAGGTCCCTTTTTAACGGAGCTCGCCAAGCCCCCTTAACAGCTACAAGGAGTAGCCTCGGACCCACGAACTCAAAATAATATCACAGATATATAAATATATCTTGTTTAATGCATTATAACAGATTGAATATATAAGGTAGTTCAAGTCACCAGGCTCGATCTAAAATGGACCGTAAAAATCGACGACTGCACGTAGCAATCTAAACTTTTCGTCGAAAGTGTAATTCACAGGTCGGTTTTTTCTTGTAAAATTACAAAGCGTAGCTCTGTTTCTGTAAGAAATAAGGCCAAGAAACTTGCCAGGGTCTACGGCGGGCAGCAACGCAGATGACAGGGGTCCAGTAGCGGGGTGTGTTTGGCGTTCGTATTGATAGATGGCGCTACCTCCTTATCACGACGGCTCGCGACCCACCGTGGTTTATTAAAAGGAATATAATATCTTTGAAATGTACCTTCGGTTAAAAAATAAATGCGAACAATAAAAGCAAAACTTAAAGTAAAAAAACGTGTCCGCATAATGGCTGCGATTTTGCTGCCAGCGGATTTCGTCTGCGTGTCGTCTGCTATCTTTCGCTGGTCGGCAGCACCTTCAGACGCTGCTCCCGACGCCATCTATCAATACGAACGCCAAACACACCTCCCACTGCACTTGGTAGTCTGGGTCGCCGCCCGCCGTAGACCCTGGCAAGTTTCTTGGCCCTATTTTTTTTACTAAAACAGAACTACGCTTTGTAATTTTACAAAAAAAAAAAAAAAAACCGACCTGTGAAATACACCTTTGACGAAAAGTTTAGATGGCTACGTGCAGGTGTCGATTTTTACGATTCATTTTAGATCCAGCCTGGTGACTTGAACCACTTTCTATATAAGTACCAAGTTATGAAATGATTGTGAATACAAATGTGATGGAATAATACATTAACGATGAACGCATACTCTAGCCAGCAGGTAGCAGCGGCGGCACGAGGAAAACAATGTCTGCTACGAACCCGAACGCGATAAGCCACTGCGAGCTCTTTTTTGAGGTTGTAGACGAGTCGTCTGACTCTCCCGCCCAGGACCCTTTATTTTCGAAGTCGTCCATCCCTTTCGATCGCGTGACTCGTAACCGTGAGATTCCGTCGTGGTTCGTTTCTGCCGGGCACGATTTAGCTACTTCAGTGAGAACGTCACAAGAAAATGGGGCTGCTAAACATCAAAAGGTCGCCCACCTCGCAATTCAAACTGGCCAGACAGGTCGGACGTTTTAAAGCACGACTCATTTAGGTGCGGCCGTAGACTTAGAGACAAAAAAGTAAAGTGCCGCAAAAGCAGACAGAAATAATATTTAGGTTTTAAATGTGATATTTCACACATACTAATAAAACGAACTGCGCGTCAAACCGATTTCGAGGAATAATTTTGTATCGCGTGCTCCTCTCGCGGTTAAACTGGAATGCAATCGACGTGAACTTAAAGCTCTCCGTTTATTTATCGTGTGATCAAGAACGCCGTTTTCTACAGGTAGTTTCTGCAAGCTAAAGGTACCTTTAGCTAGGGCTTCTAAGCTAAAGGTACCTTTACGCTGCCGTGTGAATTGGGTATAATACTTAATTCACACGGCAGCGTAAGGGTTCCTTTCGCACAGGTATACCTATGGTAAAGGGAGCTGGAGATTGTAATCACATGGCGCATAAGGGTCCCTTTCGCCAAGGGAGGTACTCTGCTAAACGGAGCTTGCCAAGCTCCCTTTACAGCTACAGAAAATAGCCTCAGACCCACGAACTCAAAATAAAAATAACACATATAAAAATATTGTTTAATGCATTATAGCAAATGGAATATATATAAGTAGCAAATAATGAAATGATTGGGAACACAAATGTGATGGAATAATGCATTAACGAGGAACGCATACTCCAGCTAGCAGATAGCAGCGGCGGCACGTGTAAAACAATAGGGAGTTTTAGAATAGCGTAAAGATCTTTGCGTCAGCACTGCGTACAACGCACGCTAGCTGTCGACGTAACGTTACGTAGCGCGTTGAACACGCACTTTTAGTATAGCGAAAGGCAAACGCATACGTAGCGATACGTAAAGACTTGCAGCGCCATCTAAATGTGCCCCTGCGAACTGCCTTAAACAATCCAATGTGGGTATTCGGTCAAGCCAATTTAACACCGCAAATCTCCTCGCTCTGCTACGAAGTGCGTGAATCTCTTTCCAGTTGCCTGTTGTGAACATGTTTTGCCTTTTTTTTTTTAGGGCTGTGCGACCAGCAGTTCGATCCATGGTTCGCTCCAGCGTGTTGTGGGATCCCTACTATCTTATGTTGACCTCGTCATTTGCTTGGAAGTATGCAAGCAATAGGTCGCACAGCTCGCGTACCGACGCACGGTAAACATTTTTTGGGGTTCGACGGTATCGACAACGTTCTTGGCTACCGACCTTATCTTTGCGGGTGCTCGAAAGGGTTCGTCGCGTTGATTTCTTGGAGGTTGTGGGTCGCCTGTCAATACCACTCGATCACGCCCAGTTCCACTCGCTCCGAGGAGGTCACAGGGGGAAGCGCTACCATTGGGAAAAGGTTTTATCTGTACTTAAGTTCAAAGTCCGATGAAGAGGAGGGGCAAGGCTGTCAGTGGTCCGGGTCTTCAGTTGGAGGCCTTGCTCGGCACCGACTCTTTCGTCTGTCCCCAGCTCCGAACTCCGCGTGTCCTCGCCCGCCACGAGCCTTGCCCTTTTTCCCTTCTTCTTTCTCTTTCTTCCACAATGTTGAGGTCATCTTCAATAGTGAAGCGAACCCGTACAACGCGCGGAGGAAGAAGAAGTTTTCCCAAGGTAGGAGCAGTAAATTTCATAGCTCCAGCGTTTTTCCCTTTTTCCCTGTTTCGGGGGGTTATGGCCCCCCAAAAGCCAACGGCAGAACACGGAAACCCTTCTGCGACTGGACCAAAGCATTCCTTGGTGGCAGGGACAAAACCACCAATACAAAAGACCGGAAAAAAGACGTGGTCAGGCACGGCCGCACCAACAGCCAGGATAAGCCTAATGGCTGTAGCTGACGCAACGACCTCAAAAATGGGGACCAACCCACTCTACACGATGAGGAAAGGCTTTCATGTAACAGAGACCACACCTGCCCTGGACCAGACTCAAAAAGACGACGAAAACATCCAGGAGGCCTCAGAGGAACGCCCTGAATTAACAAATGACAACTCAAGCCATTCATTGGAGGCTACAGTTATTGAGGACCACCAAAACGACTCTTCGGATGCGATGGAGTCCACTGATGAAACCGATGGGTTCACAGTTGTGACACACCGACGAAACAGGACAACAGGAGTTCCTGTCTTGCTGCTGCCAGCAATAGACGGTTCCAAGCTTCAAAACGTGAACCCGCTGCATCTTAGCGTTGATGTGACGAAGGCGGCAGGTGGAAAGATTCTTCACCATAGATTTACTCAGAAAGGAGGCCTACTCGTAGACGTTGCTGAAGAAGCCGCTGTGAAACGGTTACTCAAAGTCACCGAACTCTGCGGCGTCGCCATCAAAGCGTCTCTTCCGAGAGCCTACACACAGAACAAAGGACTTATCAAAGGCATACCTCGATGGTACACCGTGGAACAGCTCGCAGAATACCTTCAGCAGCAAGGCGTGGTTGCCGTCAGAAGACTTTATCGACGAAATGGAATTACCACAGAGACAACTCCGACAGACAGAGTGGTCCTCTCCTTTCGCCCAAACTCAGAACGACCATCAGAGGTGAGCCTTGGCTTCTCAACTCACCGCGTTCATGAGCACACCGATGCACCCCCGAGGTGTTTTAAATGCCAAGCAATGGGACATGTGGCAAAATACTGCACAGGCTCCCTCACATGCAAGAAATGCAGTGGACCGCATCACCACCGCGACTGTCCCAAAGATGTCAGGAAATGCACCAACTGTGGTGACCCTCATCCCGCAGATTACGCAAACTGCAAAGTACGCCTTGCAGCTCTGGCGCGTACGAAGGCGTTTCTGCGCGGCCCAATTCTGCGACCTGGTGGAAAAATACCAACAGAAACAGCTCCTCCAAGCTCGCATGACGTTGCTGAGACAACACCGACCCCAAGGTTCACGAAGGCAGCAAAAAAGAAAAGAAAACCTCACGGTAGACTACGGAGCACCACCTCTCAACAGATGTCGGACGAAGAGGAAGATTTTCCGTCTCTACCTCAACACCAGATCGACAGCGCGAATCACTCACATGATTCGTCTTCACGAGACACCCAACAACAGCATCAGCACAAGGCACGACGCTACAAGAGTTATAGCAGCGCCCTGGAGGGACGCCCAACAGATACAAATCGGCCTGCAGTAACCATAATTCAAACAATTTTTGCGACATTCCGTCAGGTTCTTATGAGCATGCCACAAGGACCTCACAGGGAAGCACTTCAAGGCATTCTACAACTGGAGAGCTTGATTCTCTCGTTGTAAAAAGACACTATAACTGCATCTCAATTTAAAGTGACGATGCCTGCAGACCACATAAATTATGTTGTGCCCACAATCCTTCAATGGAACTGTAGGGGACTCCAAGCCAAGATTT